CCAGCGAAGGAACGCACAGTGGAGAAACACGCTTCCTCTCCAACGGCTTCAGCATCTATTGCAACATGGGTGAGTCTAGCCCAAAGGGACACAGGAGAGGATGTCACAGGCAAAGTGACTGAGAACTGGCGCAGGGCTTGTATCATCATTAGTTTTGCATCTACTTTTATGGTTTTGTTTTGGATGTTTTTTTCCTGTGTGTGAAGCTTCCTCAGACATGCCCCTTATCACAAAGGAAGACTCTGCATAATTAATTCTCAACATAATGGTCCTACTTCCTAATTAATTTATTCATTTTCTTGCTGTATAACTGTTTCTCTACTTAACTGACTGACTTTGGTAATAGTTCTCTGCATAATTGACTCATATTGCTGTTGATTCTCCCCATTTTTATTTAATACCAGAAATGATTTGCTGTATAACTGCTTCATTGCTTAACTCATTATCTACACAATTGCTTGGTATCATAATTGATTCACTGCTTAACTGTCTCACAGGATAATGAAGAGCAAGTAACGGCCATCCACTTTTCACCTCCATTTCCCTTCCCTACGTCAGCCTCTTCCTTTCTTCACATGACAACCCAAAGCTTTCCTGACACCCGTTTTAGCCCCTCGGCCTGTTTCAAAACAGCACTGCTATCACCAGTCCCCTGGCCCTTATTCTGATGCCCCCAGCCCCCTTTTGTGTCCTTCCGCGTCCCACTCCCAGCTGCCTCACACAGAGCCTGCCAAGCTTCAGCTCCATACCTCTTGTATATTCACAATGCCATCTCACTCCATTTTTTAAACCTTTATGCTCATCCCTTCTGCCCTCCTTTCACCACTTAGGTTCATGTCTGTCCCCTCCATGGACATTTTTGTGTACTGACTCTCGTAATCTTTCTTTCGCACGTTTATGCCTGGACTACTGGACTACTGGACTACAGACCCCCCTGGGCTACTCCAGAAAGCCTTTACTCTGCCTCCACACCTTCTGCACTGCATACAGTGCCTGCTATGCCAGAGGCCACTACAGTATTACTATCTCTCATATGACAGTGGTAAAACTTTAACACTGCTGGCAACACACCCAGATTGCTTATGTGTCCTCTCACACACCATCACACTGCTTCTGATCCTAATTCTCTTCACAACGTGCTATGTCCTTCTTAAAAAGCACACGTAGGCTGGTGACTTTGTCTTGTGTATTTGCACTGCGCTGCCTGAGATACCTGAGGAAAAATGTAAATAATAAATGCATTTCCAGAAAGTTAAAAAGCCAACGTACAACCATCCTTAGCTTGTTTCCTTCCTGTAGAGATGACCCCCAAACTCCAATCTACTACTCCCCTTTTCAGTTGCTTGGAAATCTGTTCTGAAATTCAGAAATTTTGTTTCGAATCTTCTGTCAGTATGAGTCAGATCTCCAAGGAGTGATTAAAAAACAGCAAGGAAAGTCCTGCCTGACAATCCCACTGCAGGACTCCTTTAGGAAAGAAGTGAGACCAGGGTTGTGAGGAGATGAAATTCTTGTTTGCAACTTATATGATTTCCTATGTATAAAGATAAAGAGAAAATAAGTAACTCTTGTGGGCAATCTCCTCCCTTACTTCTGTCTTCCTGCATATGGCAATCAGGAGCCGCTGCCGCTGCTCTTCTGTGCCATGAGAATGATTCTTCCTGCCTTTATTTAGTCAAAGGTGGTGAATACATCAATATTTTGTATACAAGGTAATCCTTGGGTTGGCAGGAAGGGATTTTGGTCCAAATTGTTCTCCATTGTAAGGCACTCAGTTTTGATAGCTTTAAACACATCATATTTATCTGTTCATTCTACGGGTAAAATATGTCTGATGAGAACATAGCAAGATTTAATATTCTAACATAAATGCCATTTCTTATTGCTGTCAACCATAGCACTTGAATAAATATTATACCTCTTTCATTCAAGAAATCCCAGCGGGGTTATTTCTGACAATTGAACCGGCTTCCACAGAGACATGTTCTGCTGGTGGTTTCTGCAAGGAGCCTGGTGCATGACCCCATTTTAAGATCCCTGAAGTGGCTGTTTAGCAACTTAGTGGATCAGGTCAATTGGTTTAAACCTTGTCTGGGTCCTAAGACTTTGAATTGGAGTGGCACGGACAGCCAGCACTATTAGCAATTACTGCCATCTATGGGTAGGATCATTTTAGCTTTATTCCTCAGTGATTGTTTCTTCGTTACAAATAACATACCTGGTCTCATACATAAACAAATATAAGGGAAGAAATGACACAGTCATCACTGATTTCTCCACTAAAAACAAAAAAATAACAGAGGAAGAACTTCACCTACGCATCCACCTGAAAAGAATGGGAGAAGTCTTTGAACACTGAAAATGATCATCTGCCATAGACAAGGAAAACAATGACATCGCTTTATTTTCCTTCTTCAGTATGTTGGGTGCCGCCTTCGCTTTGAAACCACTGAGACACACTCATCCCTGATAAAACAGCACTGAAATTACTTCAAATGCACCTCATGATTTGGATATTCATTTGAATGCTGTTATAGCCTTTTTTTTAAAAAAACCCTTCAAAGTGTGAGAGCATCCATGCACTGGGGACTCTCATTCTTTTCCAGCCTGGGACTTTTTTAGCTTTTCCCATTTAGAATTAAGAGCAGTTTGGGGTATTCACCACCCGTGACAGCTATTAATCCCCCTCAACTCTACAGTCACTGTGTTAAAACATTTGAAGTAAGTAACAGGACTATTCAATGCTATTTTGGATTGCACCTTTGGTCCTTTTAGCTCATTAGTCTTTCTCGCACAGTGGCTAGTCCCAGATGCTTGAGGGGGAAAGTGAAAAACCCCCATAGTGGAAAATTAACGCAAGGGCACAGGAACCGGGCCCTTGCTATTATAGGTAACGGCATCGTAAAATCCCTTTCACAAGCCAACCACATCCATCTAAAAACTGATTTCAGTTTTTGATCCATCCTGATTCCTGTTGGGAAGCTCTTCACAAGGACTGTTCTGTTGAGTAAAAACCTTTTAATTTTCAATCGACATTTATTTATGGCCACTTTACACCAAATGTTCCTTTATCAGTAATGTTCTTTCCCTCATTTTTACACTCCTGTTTTGTTTACAGATGGAAACAAGATCCCCTCTCAAGCTTTGTTTTGCTAAGCTAAGCAAGCCAATCTCTTTTTAATCACCTGTGACAGAAAAGGGTCTTCACTCCCCTTAATTATCCTGTTGACACTAGGTTGCCGGTTTGAGTATGAATTAATCTTTCCTGTATTGGAGTGACCAGCACTGTAGTTTGTATTTGAAATGACATTATACTCAAGGGTCAATGAAACTTTCCATGTGAACCACTGAAAATACCCTACTTGATACACCTTAGAGTTACATTTGCTTTCCTTGCAGCCATAGCACATTTGTGGGTCAACGATACCTCTCAGAGCTTATTCTACTCCCGCCTTCAGTTTTCACCTAAAAGTACAGCAGATAGTGTTATTAGTCCTTATTTTGCACTTTGCATTACTTTGCCATTTCTGTTACCCCAGTTTTTAAGGTCACCCACCACTTCTTAATCCTTCTCTGCCGATTTCCCTGTTACAACCAAGGGGGCTGTAACTTGGTAGATCAGTGAACGCTGTGTGCCTGCAGCGACAAAGTTTTCAGGATGCTAAGCATGTACCCTTCAGCGCTCGTTTCGTTTATAGTCTCTAAGTAGGACCTAACGGCTTCCATGGAGCAAGGGATAGATTAAAACCAAGCATTAAGCAACCTAGAATCATGAGATATAGCAGCAAGTTGTTCGTCCTGTCCTCTCCTGGCCTGCGACTACGCTGCTTATGCCTCTTCATGCAGGAATTTGTCCCCAACACCCAGTTAGCAAAACGGATAGCTCTGAAGCGACTGCAGCCTACTGAAGCTGCTTCCAGCACTCAGTGAATCTACCTGCTGGTTAGTACGTAACAATCTTCAATACAGACAAGGTTGAAATAGGGGATCTGGAAGATGACACTGGAAAGGGAAAAAAAAATGAACAAGCTGACCTCTGTTACAAAGACAGAAAGACAGTTGTGCCAGGAGCTCTCGGTAGCTAGTGGTAGTAACTTTGCTTCCCACAGGGAAGACAAAAATGGGCACTGACAGCCAGCACGTGCGGGTGTATTTGACCCTGAATGGGCTGACTCCAGTTGCAATCTCAGCCTCCATCTGTACAGCACTTCTTGCACACATTGTCTGCCATCATATCCAAGCGCAGAAATCAACTGCAAAATGCAAACCGGTGGATGATATAAAAGGAGATATTTCAGTAGTCACAATTTCGCCTTTCAATTGCCGTAGCTAGCGCAGGGCTTTGAAAGGGATCATTGAAGAAAGAGTATCAAAGAAAATACACTGCACCAATTTCTGAATCATCCGTAGATGAAAAGACAACTGCCTGCAGACTCACCAATGTCAGGAATTACTGCTGTGCTAACGCCAGGCAACGTGCATACAACAGCCAAGCAGATGCAATGCACATTAGGCAAGTTTCTGCTTTTACTTACAATGAAAACAAGCACGGCAGCGCTGGTGAGCCCACCAGTGTCCCTGAACTCGTACACTGCAAGTGGTTCGAGAAACGGCTATTCATGTAGGATTAGTCTGCAAGCACAGTAACATCTTTCTGACATACAGAAGTAACATTTATAGTTTATTTTGTAATAACAGTGATGGCTTCTACCCTTCTGCTTTATCACCACAGCTGCTGGAGGGAATTGCTGCTACAGTCGCTGGCCGTGTGTACACGCACCGTCTCAGCGGCAGCGACAAGCCGTGCTGCTGTGGCACCGCTACGTGCCGCGGCGGTTCACCTGCCTTTGTATAGATACAGCTGAACGAGTCCATCTCCATACCGATTTACCATAATTATTGATTCCGGTAAGAAGAAGAAAAGGAGCTGCATGCTTTTTGGCAACAAGTACGCGACGGAAAAAGTAGACTTGCTCTGAAGTAAGTGCTGCCTGGAGGAAATGACGGTGGGCCGAACCGATCTCTTCTCATTCCTTACAAATATTAAGTGCATTTGTTTTAGAAACGCAGCAGGTAAGGAAAAAGCACACCCGTATTTTCAGCAGAACTGCAAGCACAGCAGACTTTACCCACTCCAATGGTTACAGCAATTATTTAATGATTAAAGCTCCAGACTCTTAGATCCGCCGAGTTGCCTAATTCCGCAAAAGACTCAGTTAATAACTTCGAAACCTCAGTATTGTTACAGAATGACAGAGTTGTCTGAAATGCGGTTTTTTTCCCTACTAAACGTCTGTTATTCAGGCCGGGGTCCGAGGTGGGCCCGTGCCCCTCCTGCAGCACCGGGACCACCCTCCCTCCCCAAACCCTCTCTCTTTTCACTCAAATAAAGGATGGAAACGGCAGTGCCGCCGCTGCGCGACGCCTGGCAGGGCCTGTGCCGCTAGCGGTTAACTGCCGGCACCCCAGCACGCCAGGGCCGCGGCCCACGGGAGCCGGGGGGTGCCGGTGCCGCCGCGGCCCCCGGGGGGGAACACCGAGGAGCGAGGCAGTCTCCGTCTCCGCCGGGCCCGACCGCGCCGCTCTCCTCGCCGCGGCCGCCGCGTGACCCATAAAGTCGACCGCCGCCGCTCACGGCGGCCC